AAATGCTTGAAGGTCGTTAGTGGGAGTTTCGCCCAAAATGTCTCGATCGTCAACGTGTTAACGTTGCCAGGCTCACAATTTTTTTCCTGGGTTATCTGTGTATGCGCTGTTCAAATTTGAAGGCTCACGGCGAAATTTGTCGTGACACATTTTTTGTTGCTATTGTCGCTGCCTTGGCCTCTCTATATTCTTTCGCTTTGTTCTTTCTCTGTAATGATACTGCTCCTTTAAGTTTTGTTCGCTCTGAATAATGAATACCAGACTCCCATGAAAAACAAGGCACACATCTTAATTACCCGCTTTACAAGATTTGTGCAGTTGATCAAATTGAGAAGGAAATTTTCCACTGTTTAAGCTCCGTCTTTGCAGAGACATTCCCTATTTATCGCTAATGCCGTCATCATTAACTGGAAGCCAATATCGGCTGGTAAGCTATCTAACCAGACCATGGACTTTTACGTGGGAGACTGACAGATCTTTCTGGGATCACAGGTTATCAGCATTGCATCCGGCATATCGGATGGCGCAGCTCAGGTAGTAGCTTCTCTGTGATCGATCTAGTTAAATAGATTTGAGTTTGATTTTCAAGAGAAAGGATCGATGGAGATTCACTTCTGCCATCTTCACAAGAGGTTGATGTAGAGGAAGATGAAGATTTTGTAATAGAAGATTCAGAAAATGAAGCTGACAGCGACGATAGCTTCAATGATCCTGTTATGTTTGATTGAGCACCCATGCGTAATTAATTCTCAGCCTTACTCTTTTTTGTTACAATTTTTGTGAAATTCCAAGTGTTTACGTAGACACAGTTCTCTAGATTAACACTGCTCATTTGGTACCGGTACTTAAGTGCGGTTTGTAGATCTTCTGCTCTTCGATGCTCATTTTGAAAATATTTATGAATAAATATTGTTGAGATCAATCAGACATCACTACCGGTTCCAATTCATTAGTTCAGTAGTCTAGTATTGACTGTACTCGTCATCTCCCTCGTCATCTGAAGCATCGATACCAACCTAAATAGTAATATTTAGTTTGCTTTGGGTTTGTTGCCTCATCATAAGTGGTGGATGTGGTGAACTTGAATCGTAAGCCTGAAGTGAGAGGTACTGGCCGAATTGTCCCTATATCTCTATCACAAAAGCAGGCTAAGGGTGGAGGGATCAAAGATCTTCAAAGTTCTTCAAGTTATGTAAGTGGAATTGTGCATTTTTAATCG